ACACCTTCCTAATACTGAGTTGCACCCCTTTCTGCCCTCAGAACAGCCTCAATTCGTCGGGCATGGACTCTACAAGGTGTCGAAAGCGTTCCACAGGGATGCTGGCCCATGTTGACTCCAATGCTTCCCACAGTTGTGTCAAGTTGGCTGGATGTCCTTTGGGTGGTATACCATTCTTGATACACACAGGAAACTGTTGAGCGTGAAAAACCCAGCAGCGTTGCAATTCTTGGCATAAACCAGTGCGCCTGACACCTACTACCATACCCCATTCAAAGGCACTTAAATCTTTTGTCTTGTCCATTCACCCTCTGAATGGCACACATACACAATCCATGTCTGAATTGTCTCAAGGCTTAAAAATCTGTCGTTAACCTGTCTCCTCCCTTTCATCTACACTGAACGAAGTGTATTTAACAAGTGACATCAATAAGGGATCATAGCTTTCACCTGGATTCATCTGGTCAGTCTATGTCATGGAAAGAGCAGGTGTTCTTAATGTTTTGTACACTCAGTGTACGATCCTGTAACTAATATTCCACTTTTTCTTTTTCCCATGTGTCCTTGTGCTGTCTTTGATCTTCAATAGGTGAGTGTCATTCATTACAATTATTTGATACCAGGTCTAAATGTTCAGTTAGTGGGCCCTTTCCTTTCAATGAGACAGTGACTGTTCTCTCATCCACACATACTTATATGCCTTATATGCAAGGGACAAGCCACAGATTTTATTCCTTACTTTAAATGACTCCACACGTAATTTAATGGAAACCTTTCACACAATGTCGACCTCAGAAAATGTCTGTCCAAATGTGGCCCTTCCCATCTGAATTACTCTGCCATGGACACTTCCTCCATATTACTCCACAAATTCACATTTTCAAGTCCCTTTCATGACTTTGTGCCTTTCAAGGGTCTTGGTGTGAGTTGGTTCTGTTTCAGTATGCTGATTGGGCAATTATGTGTGATTGTGTTCCCAGTGGAAAGAAGGCCTGAGAGCGTTTCTCTAAATGACTGAATTATGCTGGACCATTGAAGAGCCCTGTGGGGAGCCGCACACTGCTCTCCCAGACCATTAGGGAAAGGCAACTCTTTATAATAGACTTGCTATTAATCGTTGGTTACTTTGAAAAGTCACTGCTGTTGTTTCCCTGGCTGTGTCTGAATTGGCACCCTATTCCCTATGTAATGCCCATGAGGATCTGGACAAAGGTAGTGCACTATATAGGGAATAGGGTGCCATTTCAGACACAGATCCAAGAAGGATGCATTTTGTAACTAAAATCAAACAGTAACGTTTATGTGAAGATATTTGATGATAGTTGTCAGTGATCTGATCACCGGGTGGTGGGGAGGTTTGGTTGTGATACAGTGCCCCTGGTGGTCAGATGGACCAATAGGTCAGCAGCACAAAAAACACACACACACAGAACATATGGAAGTGGAGAACAGGGAAGCGTGCCACTTTTGTTCATTGTGGTGGGAAAATGACTCAAACACATGGCTTTTCTGTCAGTCAGTCTGTCTGTCTGCCTGTATGTCCTCCCTCTTTCCTCCCTCTCTCCTCTCTATCTCTCTAGTGTGATTGATGATGATAGTGGTGTCTAAAAAACTCCTTACCCAACGTCTCTCTTATCTGACAGAGGGGCAGGATCCTGTCAATGCCTTCTCGTCCTTCTCCTCTCTCTCTTCCTTGTCTCTTTGAAACCTAATATCTGAGACTATTTCTGAGCATTACCCACTTATTTTGATGATTGAGTTTTCTTCTTGACTGAATGTTTTCACCGACAGTTATGTATCCCATTATCAGTAGTATGGTTTGAAGAAATGTCTACAAATATATATACACACTGAGTGTACAAAATGTTAAGAACACCTGCTCTTTCCATGACAGACTGACCAGGTGAAAGCTATGATCCCTTATTGATATCACTTGTTAAATCCACTTCAATCAGTGTAGATGAAGGGGAGAATGGTCCACCACCCAAAGGACATCCAGCCAACTTGACATAACTGTGGAAAGCATTGGCGTCAACATGGGCCAGCATCCCTGTGGAACGCTTTTGACACCTTGTAGAGTCCATGCCCCAACGAATTTAGGCTGTTCTGGGGGGAGGTAATTAGCTAGTGTTGTTAAATAATATTATGATTTTAATTCATTATTAATTTATCATAGCTGGGTAAAGGGGCGGAAGAGGCCTACTCACGCAGCTTCACCTTGGGGCCCTTTGCCTCAGCCAATCATCCAAATGCACCCTGCTTAAACATTAGCGTCCTTGGTCTGATAGAAGGGAGGGAAGCGGGGGCCTCCACCACATCCATGCATCAAGCCATAGATCTCACTTCACATTAAGGTAGATTGATACCCATCACTGCAGGGTGAGCTGACAAACACACTCTCAATATTGTGTTTAACACAGAACAAATGGCCCCGGGTTACCTGATACACACACGCATAGGCACACACACACACACACACACCCTCATACTTTCACACACACACACACCACCCAGATGAGATGAGAGGCAGCCTTTAATTAAAAGCCTGTGGGTGGAGGGGGCAGCCGGCGGTAGGGTTCTACAGCCCCCATTATCTCCCTGTCAGGGCCCACAGGAGTCATTGGGAGGGTGAAGGTTAAGGCCGGGGCTGGGACTCAGGGCAGGGACAGCCATAAACATACCTCAGCCTGGCCACTGGAAACCATCGCTCAGCCACAAGGACCCAAAGATATATGGTCCAACAACAGGGAGAGGGAGAGAAGGAGAAGAGGAAGAGAGGGTTAGAGAGGAAGATAGGTGGTGGGAGGAGAGAAGGGGATGAGAGAGCGAGAGGGAGAGGGAGAGGGAGAGAGAAAGCGAAAGGGACAGGGGGGTTAGAGAGAGAGAGAGAGCTTGGAAAGGCGCTAAAACTAGTGCTTAGCGCGAGTCAAGCTGGAGGTGCTCTGGATCTCAATAGCTCTATTGTTTTCACCATTCTTGAACCGCGGCCAGACGCAGCGAAATTTTCGAAGACGGAGAGAGAGAAAAAAAAGAAAGGACCGAGGTGGAAATTGAACAATGGTTTCCACAACAGTAAAATACCTTTTCCCTTTCCTCTTTTCGATGTTAGCCCGCC